AAAACCAGACCTCTAAGAAACAAAAAAAGAAATTGAACTTGATATGCTGTACCACGTCTCTTTAATTCATTTCAACATTCCTAATTTGTCAGTCTCAATGAGGCAACATAGTGTCCATTAGCCAAAGTCAGAGGTAGGGAAATTCGAGACTTTAAAATAAACCTCTCTCCCATTAAGCCACTTTTTGTTTTCATGGGGAATGTAGCTGTCTTCACTGCCAATCTGGGTACTTCCATATAACAGGGCTGGGAGGCTCTGCCTCAGGTCACTCTAGAGCCAGGGATTCAGAATCCACAACCAGTGGTCTTTCCACTGCACAAAATCATTTCCTGGTCAATCACTGATGGCTGCTTCATCATAGAGGGCGTTCCTCTTCTCCTCAGCCTGGCCAAAATAGTTTGATTTTTCATTTCAGACTCAAATCTAGTTTCATTTTCTCTCAGAAGCCACCCTTGGGGCCTCTTTGCTTAGTGATTTTTTTTGTTCTTTGAAGTTAGAACTGACACTTGAATCCCTTTTCCTATCTACCTACCTTATTCCTATGGTCTACACAGTATCTCAGCATAATTTGTCTGGATACATACTAGACTTTTATGTTTGTATTACATTTTGATGTGGACAACAATGTGGTGGTGAATATCTCGAATCTTTTCTCTTGGCACATTTGTCTCAATAGACGGGTTAATTCCTACTACTAAAGCTGTTGGGTTAAAAGGCATACACATTACATGTTTTTGATAGCTGTTACTAATTATATGAGAGTATAATATTTTTATACTTTCTACACACCCTGGGTATCATAAATATTTACGTAGAATATTACCAACACTGGGTATCATAAATATTTACATAGAATTTATTTGGTTTACATGTGTTAGATTAAGTATATAGTTAGCAAGGCACTTAATAAATGTATGTGTACCTGCTATAGACTGAATGCTTGTGTCCCCCCTAAAATTCATATGCGGAAATTTAATCCCCAGTGTGATGGTATTCAGAGGTAGGGCCATTGGGAGGTGATCAGATCATGAGTGTAGAGCCTTTACCCTTATGGGCTTAGTGCTCTTGTAAGAGACCCCAACAAGATCTTTTGCCCATTCTCCCATGTGAAGACACAACAAGAAGGTGCCATCTATGAATGAAGAATCAAGCCCTCACCAGACACAGAATCTGCTGGAGTCTTCCCAGGCTCCAGAACTGTGAGAAATAAATTGATGTTGTTTAGGAGCCACCTAGTTTATGGTATTCTGCTATGGCAGCCCAAACTGACCAAGACTGCACCCTTTCTTTTTTTCTCTAGAGAAAGGACTTTCTAGTTGGTATGACATTTGACCAAGAGTCATCTACTGAGTCTCAGTTTCCTTATTTGAAAAATGGGGTTAAGAATACCTCCTTGTCAAGTTGTCATAAGGATTAAATAACACAATGTAAATAAAGAACCTAGCGCTATGTTTGACGATGCCCAATAAATTGCAGGAACCTTCTCTTCGTGTTCCCTGCAGTGCTTGGTACATATGGCATTCAATAAAAACAAAGTGAGGAAAATTAGTTTACAATTGTCCTACCTAACATCTGCTGAATATTGGCCACATGTGGCCAACATTCTAAGTTTTTAAGAATTAGCTTATTTAATGCTTACCACCACACAGTGGTGGGTGCTATTAATATCCCTGTTTTATAAAAACATGAAGTTACAAGCTAGTTAACAGTGGATCCAGGAATCTAGAACTTGGGATGGTAAATACTCCTCTTTCAGAAATGAGTAGCTGCAGAGCAGGTTGCCCACCTTGTGTCTGTCTGGGGCTGACATGCTTCCTCTAGAGGAGCCATCTTGAGAAGGCTGGTCAGCTTCCTCAGGCCGGCCTTCACCATTCCTCCCTGGGGGTGATATTACATTTACAAGCACCACCTGTTGTGATTCAACAAAAACACTAATTAAAGAGAACAGCCAGAGGAAAACAAGAAGCATGTTTACTTCAACAAAGATTAAAAAAACTACAATTATTTATTTGTCTGAAGATTGATTTCATATCTAGCGGGTACTGTAGAAAGCCCCTCACATAAAGCCCTACATGGATCTCTAACAGCCAACATTTTACATGAGGCCTTTATCAGTGTGCCTTGAATAAGTCATGGGCTTGTATGTTTTCAGATGAGTATTTAAAATGTATTTTTTTTTTTAATTTTATTACTTTTTGAGACAGGGTCTTGCTCTGTTATCCTGGCTAGAGTGCAGTGGTACCATCTCGGCTCACTGCAACCTCCACCTTCTGGGTTCAAGTGATTCTCCTGCCTCAGCTTCCGAAGTAGCTGGGACTACAGGTGCCCACCACTACACCTGGCTAATTTTTATATTTTTAGTAGAGACAGGGCTTCACCATGTTGCCCAGGTTGGTCTTGAACTCCTGGGCCCAAGTGATCTGCCCACCTTGGTCTCCCAAAGTACTGGAATTACAGGTGTAATTCACAGAATTTTAAAATAAGTATAAATATTCATTTTGTGGTTTCACTTTTTATAAGTTCTATGCAGATGCCAGCACAGGGGGGACTGAAGTAAGAATTGTGCACTTTAAATTTGAAATAGAGAGTATCCCCCAAAGCCCAAAGGATATAGGTAATTTTATTTTAAATACAAATGCCTAACATTTAATAAAGGAGGGGTGATAGATGGTGCTGATCTTATTCTCAATTTACAAATAAACATTGAGGCTGTGAGCTTCAGGCAGCAGGTTTGAACTTTTGTTGTGCTGTTAGGGCAAATGGAGGCAGGTCTGTGGAGGTGCATCATTGGGCTTTCAAAAGGGGGCCTACTCTGTGCATTTAAGAAAGATCAGATATAATCACACACAGAAAAAAAAATCTGGAAGGATATACAGCACAGTGTTGTATATCACTCTACGTGATGTGATTAGAAGAAATGTATATTTTAAAAGTACCTTGCTGAGTTTCCTGAATTTTGTTTTAAATGAGAATTTACTCCTTTTATAATCAGAAAATTAAAAAAATAACAAGGAAATCCAAAGGTCAAACATGGTGGCTCATGTAATCCCAGCACTTTGGGAGGTTGAGGCAGCCAGGCCTTGTCTCAAAGAAAGAAAGAAAGAGAGAGAGAAAGAAGGGAAGGAAGGAAGGAAAGAAAAGGAAGGGAAGGAAGGGAGAGAAGGAAGGAGAAATAACTAAAACCAGGGAAAACAAAGAAAGGAGGCTGTGCTTTCCTGGTCCAGATGTGAACAAATTTTGGCTGCATTCCTTCCCTCCTGGCAGTGCTTCCCAATCTCTTCTCAGATTAGCCTGCAGACTTAGGTTCTTCCTCTCACCCCACGAAGACGTGGCATTGTGCTTCAGCTTCATTCTGTGCACTCGCAGCAGCCCTGGAGTTTCATTCCAGGGGAGTTCCAGCCCAGTGCCCTCTGCTATCTGACCTGCCTCCGGTACTCAGCATAACACCTCAAATGAATTCCAGACCTTGAGTTACAGAAAGAAGGGCTTTAGAATCAGATGAACCCCTGGACAATGTTTAGCCAGTATGAATTTTGGTTTCCTTATCTCTAGAGTGTAGAATATCATACTACGTTTTCTTTGGTTTGTTGTAGGTATCAGAGAAAATATACTTAGAATGTTTGCAAAGTCCTTGGCCTTTGCTCATTCAACAATAGCCATTCATTGTACATCTATTTATTTGCCAAGCATTCCTCTGGACACTGATGATTATTCAGAATAAATGTATTTTTAAAGAGAAATATGTATTTTTCAACTTCTTAGTTTAGTATAGAACATCCTTTACTTATGACCTTTCAACTTATAATTTCCCAGATTGCAAAGCTATGCCCTAAAGCTAAAGCATATTAAATCTGCCCCCACAACAGGTTGTATTAGCAGTCACCTTAGGTTATTTTAGAGTTGCCCTCAGTCATGGTCTAAGGTAGGTTTGCTGGGTTTTGTTTTTTTGAAAAGCAAGGCAAGACAAAAAGAATAATCTAAAAATACTGTCAAATTTAATACATTTTGAAATTATAGGCATTTCATTTTACTGAAAAGATCCTCTCTTTGTTTAGATAATCAGGATCCTAACTTAAAGAGATTTATGAAAATATCTATATTTGTGTAAGACATAGCTTGTTATAATTTTTTATGTGGTAAAGAAAGACAAAATAAGAACATATTTTTAAGAGAGTTGAAATAAAAAGGAAAAGTTGAAACTAATGCCATCAATATTTATAGTTCTCTGGGGAAATTTCAGTTTTTGTCACTAGCCAATAGTGTTGACAATTATTGAACACTTTCTATGTGTCAGGCACTGTTCTAAACGTTTGGAGTAATTTTATTTTCACAACAGAGAGATATTATTATCCCCTTCCCCCATCTTAAAAATGGGAAAACAGGAACAGAGATTACACAGCCAGGTCACAGGTGATAAGTGGCAGAGGTGGGATTGAACCCAAGAAGTTGGGCTCCAGAGGTTGCACATCAGTGTGCTGTACTGTCTGCACACACTGGTTATTTGTTTAGCTTCACTATTGGCTTTTGAAAAAATTGATCTATTACAGATTTTTGAAACCTAACCTACTCAGTAGTAGAGAAGCTCCTGAGTAGACACCAGTGTTGAAATGCCAGACATAGAAGTCACTTGGCTAGAATCACCCATGGAACACCCATGGAACATTCTGTTTGTCAAGATCTCGTGATACTCAGAGAATATGGGGAAGAAAGGAGATCTTGGTGAGGAATCTGTAATTTCATTTAAAAAATTTCATTTCGTCGAATATTGGCTGTTTAAATAGAAATTTTTAAAAGTTAATAGACTAAAAAGATCAAAGACTATTTAAGATACTTCAAAAGGGACAAGAAGTTACTGAAATAGCAATCTGGGAAGGAAGGAGAAGTCAGGAATAAGAAATAAGACATAAATGTAGTTACCACAAGTAATCTGTTTCTCACTGGTAAGACAGCCAGGGGGAGGTCCTGCCTGCCCGCCTCGATTCTTTGCATTTTCTCTACAGCTGGAACCACAAGGAGGGGCTTTTTCTAATACTGATAGTCTGGAAATCAACTGGCATCATAATTCTAACAAGGGTAAGTGGCTAATAGCTAATATAACTGGCTGACTGGTCAGAGGCTGTGTAATGCTCGAGGCAAAGCCTACTCTAGCCTTAATGTCTCATGAGGGTTGTAGAACTTCTGACTCTAGGATTGGCTCAGGATCAATGTGCAACTCAGGCCTGAGAGAAGATCAGGTTCACTGAATTGTGGTTAAAGTTAGTATATCTCATCACAGAAGCCATTTGACCTAGATGATTGTAATTCCTTATTCTCCAGATTTTATCTTTATGTTTATATTTTGGGAATAACTTAACTAACTTGTTGCCTTATGTTGTTATATAAACAGTTATGTTTTTAGAAAATATTGAAATTTAAATTTATTTCTTAATTGACAAATTAAAATGGTATCTGGGATACAACATGATATTTTGATACATATACACATTGTGAAATGGTTAAATCAAGCAATTTAACATATCCATCACCTCACATACTTTTTGTGTGTCAGAAACAATTAAAATCTACTCTATGGCAATTTTTGCATATATACTATATTATTTTTAACTATAGTCACCATGGTGTACAGTAGATCTCTTGAACTTACTTCTTCTCTCTAACTGAAATTCTGTATCCTTTGGCCAACATCTCCCCAATTCCACAGTCCCCCTGCCTCTGGTAACCATCATTTTACCTTCTACTTCTTTGAGTTCAATGTTTTAGGTTCCATATATAGGTGAGATCATGTAGCATTTGTCTTTCTATACCTGGCTTATTTCATTTAACATAAATAATACTGAAACTTTTATTAAAAATGTTAAAACCAGTATTAATCACCAGACTTAAGAACAAGTGTAATAATTAAGAGTGGATGACTTGCTTCAAGAAATTACACTTAGTTGTAATTAAGTACTTGCCCTACAAATCCTTAATCTAATGATTCTAAATTGTTTCTCTTTTTTCTTTAATGTAAGCCATTGATTTTAGAAACTTTTGGGGACATTCTGGTGATAAATCCATCATGGCTCAAATTCCACTACAAACCAAGAATTATAGTGGTGGTGACCTTGTTGCACCATGAAAATGATCTACCATCTCCTCTTTCCCTTCTGTCTCTGTGGAAGAGATGTCCCTTTCCCAGTTCCTGGGTACAGACCATCTCTCCTCTCGTGTTTGTTGGGATGCTGTCTCATGAGTTATCCTGTCTTTCCTGGATTGTCTTTCTCTTCTTTTCTAGTGGTTCTACTACTCTGGTTTCAGGAAAGCTCATTTCTATTCTACTATGAGCAACTTGATAGAAGGGGCTGTGGGATATTTATTTTTGCATCTCCAAGCCTCCTTAGCACACTGTAGGAGGTGAAAATACAATTATTTTTAGAATTAATATGTGATTATAAGGATAACTTTTATTTTTCCTCTTAATCTGAGTTGGTGAATGGAAATAGGCTAACCTTAGCCAGAGTTCAGCTATGCATTCACTGAGTGCTCAAGTCTCTTTATGATGGTAGCTGTGACTTGGTTTTAGCTCCTGTGCTACCAGAGAGATGATTGTGCAAGGAAGAGGTGGGGAGAGATGAGTAGAATGGGCCATGCTTGCTTTTGTCATTCTTGTGGCTAACTTCTCTCCCTTAGACAGAAGCAGAAAGAAAAGTATCGTAGTTTCTCTGTGTTAACACACAAAACCCCGTCATCTCTTATCAGTCAGGAATTTCTCTACCAGTTCAGCTTTCTAGGTCCTTCATTAACACTCACTGTGTCATCATCCTGCCTGCAATAGGATTTTCCTTAGTAGGGAGTCCTGACAATAGTCCATGCGACCCTTTGCAGTATAGTTTGCTTCTGAGAAGACCTTGGAATTATAAAATTTCATCATGTAGCAGACTGTTTCTTAGGACAGTCAGTATCTCTTCCAGAACAAGCCGTTTTAGGCTAACCAGAAACCAAATTTTCTTTCTTTTTTTCTTTTTTGAGATGGAGTCTTACTCTGTCACTCAGGCTAGAATACAGTGGCGCAATCTCAGCTTACTGCAACCTCCGCCTCCTGGGATCAAGCAATTCCTCTGCCTCAGCCTCCCAAGCAGCTGGGATTACAGATGTGTATCCCCACATCCGGCTAATTTTTGGATTTTTAGTAGAGATGGGGTTTCACCATGTTGGCCAGGCTGCTCTTGAACTCCTGACCTGAAGTGATCAGTGCTGGGATTATAGGTGTAAGCCACCACCCCCAGCCAGAAAACAGATTTTCTAAAAGCACCATTTAAGATATTATACATAAAATCACACATATGTCATGAGCCACAAAAGTGATTACCTCTGACCAAGAGAAGCTAGAGGAGAAAAGCTCAAACATGAGCCCTGAGTCTGGGAAGCCAGAATGGGAATTGTGTTTGGTTCACGGGAGAGAGGGAAAAAGAAAATAATCGCTTGTCTGTTTCCAACAGTCCTGTCTCTCCTCGAGCTCATGCAAGTACAGATAATTCTTTTTTGAGACGGAGTTTCGCTCTCGTTACCCAGGCTGGAGCACAATGGTGCGATCTCGGCTCATCACAACCTCCGCCTCCTGGGTTCAGGCAATTCTCCTGCCTCAGCCTCCTGAGTAGCTGGGATTACAGGCTTGAGCCACCGTGCCCAGCCAGATAATTCTTTTTGTAAAGCCAACAAAACTACAGAGCCCTAAGCACTCTTTTGGCTCCATCATGGTCTGGCTGAGGGCTTTCCCCGAGTCTATTCCCCCAGACCCATGCTTTTAAGCATGAGTGATTAGTGGGCTGAGGTGTGGCGTTGCTGAGATTTGCAGAATATGGTGACATGCCAGTGATAATCGAAGGAAAGGGCAATGTGTAGCTGAGAAACACTGACATCTGAGAAGTGTTCTGCTCTGGTGACTCCCTAAATTGATGGTTGATGGCAGTTATTCATAGCAGCACTAATTTCTTTTCTTGCCCTCTCTCCCTCTCTCTGGCCAACCTGTTTTAAAACATCAAAGGAATGAAAGAAAAATGCCAGAGTGCATCAACTTGAATCTCTCCACTCTAGCATGCCTAAATTTATTTCATTTTATTTTTTGGATGTTCTAATCTTTTAATCTGTGTAACAGATAGTTAATGATATAAAAGGGAGCAGAATCTTTTATTTAAATTTTCCTATTCAGACAAGGTGAAGGAGATATTTTCATGCAGGTCGGGAAGATCTGGTAATATGGTGATGGTGTTTGTGACCTTGGCAAAGTGACCTCATCTCACTGTGCCTTGTCTAGAGTGGCTGATGTCTGCCTTGACCTGGAGAAAGAAATGACCCCAACATATCTGTGGGAGTGTTGATACTAATAGTTAACAGGAGGCACTCTACTTTCTCTTTGTAGTGGTTAATATTTCCCCAACCTTTTGTTTCTTTAAAAATTCAGACCTACAGAAAAGTTACAAGAATAGCATAATGATGTTCATTTACCCTTTATCTAGATTTACTAATTGTTAACATTTTACCACATTTGCTTTTTCTCTTTTTCTCCACACACTTGCATGTGCACACAAATATTTTTTTGGTACGCCATTTAAGAATTCCTTTCACAGAGAATTCAATTACTGTTACCCTAAATATCTTAACACATGTCTTCTAAGAACAAGGACGTTCTCCAGCATAACAACAATACAAGCGTCACACGCAGGAAATCTAACACTGAAAACACAATATTATCTGATATATAGACCAAATTCAGAGATCTCCAATTGTTCCAACAGTAATATTTTTAAAAATGTTTTTTTCTTACCTTTTCAATCCAGGATAGAATTAAGAATCACTCATTCCATCAGCTGTTCTATTTGTTTAGTTTTAAAAAATCTAGAACAAGGCCAGGCATGGTGGCTTACCCCTGTAATCTTAGCACTTTTGGAGGCCAAGGTGGGTGGACCATGAGGTCAAGAGATCAAGACATCCTGGCCAACATGGTGAAACCCTGTCTCTACTAAAAATACAAAAATTAGCCGGGCATGGTGGTGTGTGCCTGTAGCCCCAGCTACTCAGGAGGCTGAGGCAGGAGAATCACTTGAACCCAGGAGATGGAGGTTGCAGTGAGCCGAGATCATGCCATTGTACTAGACTCCGTCTCAAAAAAAAAAAAAAAAATCTAGAACAGTTCCTGAGCCTGTCTTCTAAAAAAAAATTCTTATCATCTTAACATTTCTTTTTGAGATGGAGTCTCACTCTGTTGCCCAGGCTGGAGTACAGTGGCATAATCTCAGCTCAATGCAGCCTCTGCCTCTCAGGTTCAAGCAATTCTCCTGCCTCAGTCTCCAGAGTAGCTGGGACTATAGACGAGCACTACCACACTCAGCTAATTTTTGTAGTTTTAGTAGAGATGGGGTTTTGCCATCTTGACCAGGCTGATCTCAAACTCCTGACTTCAGGTGATCCACTTGCCTTAGCCTCCCGAAGTGCTGGGATTACAGGCATGAGCTACCGCCAGGCCTCATCTTGACATTTTTGAAAAGTTCAAGCCACATTATTTCTAAAATGTCTGTCAGTTTGTATTATTCTAATTGCTTCCTCATTCTTGGATTCTGATTGAACATTTGGGGCAGGAATCCTGCATATGTGACACTGTGTCCCTCTCTGTGCATCACCACAGGAGGCACAAGATGGCGCAGAGTTCCAACACTGATGTTCACCAGGATCACATAGGGAGGTTGATGTCCACCAGATCTCTCCATTTAGAGGATACCTTTTGTTCCCTCCTTTTTTTTTTTTAATTTATTTTGAGACGGAGTTTCGCTCTTGTTACCCAGGCTGGAGTGCAATGGCGCGATCTCGGCTCACTGCAACCTCTGCCTCCTGGGTTCAGGCAATTCTCCTGCCTCAGCCTCCTCAGTAGCTGGGATTACAGGCACGTGCCACCATGCCCAGCTAATTTTTTGTATTTGTAGTAAAGATGGGGTTTCACCATGTTGACCAGGATGGTCTCGATCTCTTGACCTTGTGATCCACTGGCCTCAGCCTCCCAAAGTGCTGGGATTACAGGCTTGAGCCACCGTGCCCGGCCT